CAGCACAACACAAATACAACACAGCACACAGCACAGCACAGCACAGCACAGCACAGCACAGCACAGCACAGCACAACACAGCACAGCACAACACAACACAGCACAACACACAACACAACAACACAGCACAGCACAGCACAGCACAGCACAGCACAACACAGCACAACACAGCACAGCACAACACAGCACAGCACAGCACACACAGCACAGCACAACACAGCACAGCACAACACAGCACAGCACAACACAACACACAGCACAACACAACACAACACAGCACACAGCACACACACAGCACAACACAGCACAACACAGCACAGCACAGCACAGCACAGCACAGCACAACACAGCACAGCACAACACAACATAGCACAACACAACACAGCACAACACAACACAACACAGCACAGCACAACACAGCACAACACAGCACACACAACACAGCACAGCACAGCATGTACAACACAGCACAACACAACACAGCACAGCACAGCACAGCACAACACAACACAACACAACACAACACAGCACAGCACAGCACAACACAACACAGCACAGCACAACACAGCACAACACAGCACAGCATAACACAACACAGCACAGCACAAATACAGCACAGCACAAACACAGCACAGCACAACACAACAGCACAGCACAACACAGCACAGCACAGCACAGCACACAGCACAGCACAGCACAGCACAGCACAACACAACACAACACAACAGCACAGCACACAGCACAGCACAGCACAGCACACAACACAACACAACACAACACAGCACAGCACAGCACACACAGCACAGCACAGCACAACACAGCACAACACAACACAGCACAGCACACACACAGCAACACAGCACAGCACAACACAACATACATATATTGTTTTTCACTCTGATCTTGCTTTTTCATTATTGTATTTCTTGGTTATTATTTAATATTATTATTATTCAATTTAGACGTAATAACATTGTCTTGACTTTCTGATAATACCTGATGCTAGTTAACACGACACCATAATGCTGTTATTATTTTGATAATTCACTAATAACCCACTGTTATATACCATCATTTATATTAATTAATGGGTCAAATTATACTTCAACTACCATAAGTATTTGGATGTTTACATTTGAGACAAGCTGTAGAGGTTAAATTAGAGGTTTTAATCATCCCTGTACTTAGACATGGAGACTAGGTCGTGTTTTAATGGTTTATGAACTATTTAAACCTTCAATTCTATCAGTAATTACTAAGTTACTACCCTCCAGTATATTGTTTTATACTTTTAGGCCTAATTTATTTTAACAATGTTACTATAGTGAATTTAAAGGCATTCTTCACCCATAGACTTGCCATCTAATGAAAAAATTCCGACCGTTGATTTAATTATTTATTTTTTAATACATTTCTAAATATATTTATAACAGTGTGTGGATACGTACACACACACACACACACGCACGCACACACACGCACGCACACACACGCACAGACACACACACACACACACACACACACACACGCACACACACACACACGCACGCACACACACGCACACACACACACACACACACACGCACGCACACACGCACAGACAGATACACACACACACACGCACACACACACACGCACACACACACACAGACAGACACACACGCACGCACAGACACGCACAGACACACACACACGCACACACACGCACGCACAGACACACACGCACAGACACACACACACACACACGCAGGCAGACACACACACACGCACACACACACACACGCACAGACACGCACAGACACACACACACGCACGCACACACACACGCAGGCACACACACACGCACACACACAACACACACACACACACACACACGTAAACAAGGACCTGATGTGTGTGTGTTTGAGTGAGTCAGGTTGTGTCTGTCCCTCTATCTGATGCACTCAACGCACTCCAACACACTCAAACACACTCAACACACCCTAACACACTCAACACACCCTAACACACTCAACACACCCCAACACACCAACACACCCTAACACACTCAAAGGATGAGCACAGCGCGTACAGACGTTATCAAGCAGACAGACGGCAGAAGACCACACGCGCACCGCACACACGACAACAAGACAGCATATCGTTACGCACGCACGCACACGCACGCATCGCAAGCACGCACGAACGCATATCATATCATACCGCATATCACCGCACGCATCGCACGGCATATCAGCACAAGCACGCACAAGTATATCAGCACGCATAGCACGTATACGCACGGCACGCACGCACGGCATACGCACGCACGCACGCACGCGCCACGCCATCGCACGCACACGCACGCACGCACGCGCACGCACGCACGCATCGCATACGCCACGCACGCACGCCACAGCACGCACGCACGCACGCACGCACGCATAACGCACGCACACGCCACGCCACGCACGCACGCACGCACGCACGCGCACGCACGCACGCACGCACGCATAATGCC